TCGAACCAGACCTCGATGACACGCTTGTAGTTATTTGTGATGATGGGCCCCTTCTTCTTCTCGGCGAGCTTGCCGAAGTTGTAAGGCATGAAGCCTCTGTAGACGTGGCCCACGCGCGAGCAAGGAACCCACTCAATGCTGCCGCCACACTGCCACACCTAACACCAGAGGTAGGATTAGATACATAATTAATTAATAAATCGATTCAGGTTTTTGGCTATGGAATAATTACAGATTGACAGCCATAAATTCTTCAAATACCTATTATCGTGCTATATTCTTGGTTTGAAATGTAAGATAACAGAAGATGAGTAAGAATGACTAACTTTGGAGACCTGAAGTACCACAGTTCAATATCTAGGTAAGTTGCGGCTTTAAGGACGGATCAGCAGATGTTTATTGCGGGTAGTGCTCTTTATTCATTTACACATATGGAATTTGAAAGCATCCAGCCCTAACCTGTTGTGCTAAGCTCCATGAGCCACGATTTGGAAATAAAATTCCAGATTCTCACTTTGAAGGAGAGCTCGAAGTTTTCACCTCCCCACACCAGGAGGCCAGGGTCGTAGGCGCCAAGCTCCAGGAAGTAGGAGCGGTCGATGGCAAATAATCCTCCTGCGTGCGTCGGCGACCTGATAATAATTATTTCGTTCACAATTTCCTCGCGCATTAGAGTGCAAATACTTCAACTGTTGTCATCGAGTGTACCAAATGCGATATTGATACGCTTGTGTCTACGAGAAAAGCGGAGGACCACAATTTGTTAATGCAGTTGAAGTGACAGTAAAGATTGATTCTTGAGAGCAAGCCATGGGAGCAAACATGAAATTTCCTTTTCGCAAGATTCCACTGAACATCTTATGTGTGCTCGTGGCGGTATCTATGATACTCTCCTACTTATATCATCAGTTTGCTTCAATCGCAAGTTAACAATGAATTTAAAAACAAAGAAAACGCCAAGTAAACTCACCATATCGATATTGAAAACGTTTCGGAGTCCAGCTCCGTAGTCAGTTCGACAATCTAGACAATGAAAACCATAATTATAATTAAAAATCCAACGTCAGACATTAAGACCTAAAATTGACAAATAAAAGACAACTCAACCTTAACTCGATAACAAATACTTGCGGAACGCAGTCATAAGAGACACAAAAGGATTAATACCCAAGAAAAAAAAAACACTAGAAAATAAAAGCCTATAGCGATTCACAATTTCGAGAGGATCGGAACTGTGTGCATGATTGAGACACGGTTTTCGTTTGATGGTGTGTACCAAAAATGCTCAAGTCAGAACAACCAGAGGTTGAACCGAGTATCCTGAAATCACTCTCCGATACAGCCACTTTGCACTGTTCATCATAAAGGCGCACGAAGGAATGAAGAGGCTTGACAAGAAAAAAAATTCGAACGATAGCTCCTTTATTTCTTCGTTTTCTTTGCTTTTAAATACCTTGATACTCTACTATAGTATAGCTACGCTAGTAGTAGTAGATAATACTCTACTACTGTACTCATAGCACCCCAAGTTTTTATAAAAGGAAACTAAAAGTCTATCGTTTGACACCGGGGGCCCTTTTATCAAAAATAGTTAAGAGTTAGTAACTCCCGTCAGCCGCTACGTATACTTAAACGAGTTTTAATAGTAAAACCCAAGGGTTGGAGCACGAGGCTCACTTGTAAGGAGAACTGGAGTGCGGACGAGCGTTCTCCATCTCCGGCGGCAGCTCAGTCTCCTTGTAAAGCATCCCCCACTCGAAGATGCCGCGGTAGTTGGTACCCGGTCCGTACACGGGGCGGTACTCGAACGTCTCGTGATCTATGCCGTCAATCACTGGCACCGTCATAGTTGTCCTGATGATGCAGCAATAAATATAAAATTTATATTTATAAATTATATAAATTACATAATTACGTCATTTATTCTCAGCATTGGTGAGAGTTAATATCACATACGCAGATCAGCCATTTTCCTCAACATGAAAGTGGATTTAAAACAAAGTATATGTTATTAGTACACATAGTACATTTATGTTATTCGATTGCAATCGGCTTCTCTTACCGCGTGATCAATGTTTATGGGTACAATTAATTTTAATTAAAATATTTTATTAATTTTACCTACCTATCATAATTTGTGAAATTATATCAGGAATTTTTCTAGTGAAGATAAATTAATTTAACAAAGGCTAAAAAATGAAAAACGGACAGCTATCGTGGAGCTATTCAATGCAGGCAAATCTAGAGAAAAAAATGTCAAGGACTTGATCGTGATTTGTAACTTGACAAACCTTAAAGAAACGTATCCAGCTTAGTATTGATTCTAGCCTAACCTTGAACAAATGTTATGTTACTAATACTCTATTCATTTTATAACAATATTAACAAATATAACACTATATCCAATATAGTTAGAATTTATAACAATAATACTGATCACCCTAGAGATCTTGGCATATAAATTAAAAATCGGCTGCGGTGGATTAGGATATTGTCCGACACCGAACTACCTATTGACTTTCTCAAAGCTGTTACATTGATTGCGTATGTCATCTTCAGTGATATCAAACTAGCGGTTCTAAGCAATGCCTTCAGCACCGATAAGTCAGTCATTGCCCAGCCTTCCAAGCAACACGTTTGCTGGCTGGAGCTATAGCCTCGCTAACAGAACCCCGCCTTGTCACGCGTCCTTTATGCAAATATAGTATCAACAAGTGCTTTACTATTTCTTGCAGTCCACTTTGACTGTCGAAGATTACTTCAACGAACTCTGTCCTCAGGAAGTAATATAGCAGTTCTCTAAACGAAAGTCGATTGGATATTTGAATAGCCCATAATCAGCACAATAATTTACTGTATCGTCATGAAGATTCACTTTCCAGCAATGAAGCAAAACTTAAAATGAATTTTCCCCTTAACTCTCACAAGAAATATCTATATAATTAAATGCGCAACAGCCATGTCCTGACCTGTCTCGATAAATGGGCGCCAGCAGTGGAGGCAGCCAGTTCTTATTGACTTCGCAATGCGCGTCGAGGAACAAGACGACTTCTCCGCGTGCTTGTTCCGCACCAATAGTGCGCGTGCGGATGAGCCCTTCACGCTCCTTGTTGCGTATTAGACGCACTTTGCTGCCCCATCTTCTGATGTAGTCATCCAGTGGCTCCTTCAAATTAGCTGCTCATAAGACAGCATATCGTTTGGAAAATTGCCATAAAATGGTTTTAGCTGCACGTCAGTGGCCAGCTGGCATGTGAAAAAAGCACAGTGTCGCCGTTTCTTTAATTCAATACAAATAAAGGGTGACACCTTTAAAAATAAGGCGAAACCGTTTATTTTCACGTTGCGGTCGGCCACTAGATCGCCGATCGCACCCCTTTTAGCAGTTATTTCAAACAGCGTATTAATACTTCTACACAGAAACAGCAACTGTCGCAGTAGCCAATCGGATATCACATATCCGTTTCTTTGATTTGAATAGATTTAAAAGAAGCATATAATTAACCAACCCTTGAAGTTTGATGTGGCTCAATATTTGGTCAAACCTTTGTCGCTGAAATCGTCAACAAGCAAGACTTCATGTAGTAGCTGAGGAGGCGATCTGTTGATGACGCTGTGCACTGTGCGCATAAGGGTTGAGAAGCCCTCATTGTGGAACACAATTACAACAGATGTGGTGGGTAAAGCAGCCGGGTACTGCCAGTGAGCACACCTAAAAACAATATTCATCTAAATCAATAAGATAAAAGAACTAACACTAGCAAGCATTTGCACTGACTTGTAAAATATGTCAATAGCAGATGATTGCTGCAGGACTGGAAGAAACAACTCTTAATTGATGTTTTCTAAAAACTATAATACCTACCTACTCAAATACACTCTTTTTCTCCTAGCCCTCTTCTCTCTTTAATCAGGTTGCATACCGGTATTTAGAAAAAAAATTCCATGACCTGGTTCTAGTAATCTTAGAATGTTAACTAAAAAGAAAGTAGTCAAGGCAGCAAACCAAACTTTGCCAGAACATGTACAAGATGTGCATCAAACCTATGCATCCACTTGTATATTTATTTGATCTTATAATTTTATTCTGAATCCATTTTTCTCTGCTGGTTCCAAGTGGAACTGGCATTAATGGGTTAACACATGCAGCACAGGAAAACACTTTCTTTTTTTCTCCATTTATTTCCAAATTCCATGACTTTCTATAACCTGAAATGAAATCCCATGACTTACCAGGCCTGGAAAATGAAATCCCATGACTTTCCAGGCCTGGAAAAGAAAATTCAAATTCCATAACCTTCCCAGGTTTTCCATGACTGGCACGCACCCTGTCTAATACAACCTCCCGAATTACCGTATCACAAATATTAGGTTCAATATCTCTAAGCAATTAATTGAAAAAGAAACCACGACAAGGATAGAAATAAATTAGTTAAGTTTAGATAGATGCTAATTCATGTATACTATAAGGCACTGAATTCAATTATAAAATTAAGCACCATAAATTTCAGAATATTCCTTATAAAAATAAATGCATACCGCAATTTCCCTTACAGCAGAAACAATCTTACTCACTCTTCATGACGAGTGTCAGGGATATTTCTGTCCATAGCAATGGAATCAGAGACAATCATGTTGATGCCGTACTCACTCACACTGTGACTTCCTTCATTTTGTTGACTAGGAGGCAGATGGTATGCCTTACCATCCTCACCTGATGAGAATAACATAAGAATGCATGTACTGTTCCTTTGCAGGTCCTGCTTAGTCAACTTAGTCACCAACATACCATAGTGTTTTATTCAAGAGACTTGAACATATTGTAAATCTGCAAAAAGTACACATTGGGATGGAGAAAGCTAGGTACCTTAATTTATTTTGTGTGTATAAAGAATAATCCTGGACACATGGTAATTAGTTAACTAAATCATACTCCACCACCAAACTTCAAAACCCAATTCTAAGTTAGTTATAGAAAAAAATACAAACCTGGGCCTATTTTTGGAGTGTCAGCAGGAGGTTCAAAATTGCCATTTCCGTCTTCTAAAAATTTAACTGTCTCTCGAACAGCAGGCTGAAATCAATAATGAAATTTAATTCTTAAAAACATTAAAATCTGATTCTAGCAAAATTACAAATTTGAAATTTAAAAGGTCAGAAGCACAAGGCAAACATGGAAATGTTTATTGGAACACACATAAATATATATTTATGCATTAATTACAAACATAGCAAAAAAGTTTATGGAAATTGGATAATAAGGAAAATTTTTACATCTTTGACAATACTAACCCGTAGTTTGGCAAATGTGAGGGAATCATACCGCAGAGTTGAATCAGGTGAGCGAATAAGAAGGAACAGTAAAATTACTACAGCACTGCACACCAACAGCACCACCAATCTGCTCCTCCGAGGAATCCCCAAGCGCATCTTCTACCAAAATGTAGCTGCACAAAAAAAAAGTCAATTCTCTAGCAGAAAAAGAGTAGAAAAATGATATATATCAGATATATTATGATTATTCATCTGTAATTGAAGAATTTTACATTAAACTTGAATCAGAAATATTAACAGTAAAAGTCTGAATGAACTATTCTGTGTCTGTTAGAAATTATGTCTAGTTCTGTTGCCAGCTCTGTAATAGGATAGGAATTTGTTCTGGAATATAGGACATTGGAAACAGTATTCTCATGTAAAATTCTGTATTGTAATAGTCTCTTTCCTTAAAAGTATACGTATAGGTTTTGAAATCTTTTCATGTTTTGTTTCAATATCGTCCCTTGTCAATTTGTCATTGATTTGGTCTGGAGAACCTAGTCACATGACCTTTTGTACCACTCAGAAACTCGACATTAGACAAGTTTAATCAAAGCTCATCCTAGAGGAGTTACGTTCTTGCCTTCTCAGATTGCAATTGCTCCTGAAAAGTACGTCATTGACAAAATAAAAATAGTTGATAGGCATTGAACTATGGGGGCATTGTCCCATAGGCATTGAACTTAAAGGTTGAATTAAATTAATATAAAGGCATATCCTTGAAACCACCTATATCTGATCAAGCTCAACAATCATTCATAAATATCTTAACTTAATCAGAGCTGTGGTTTTATGGATTTGCCAGTTATGATTCCATTTCTTTAAGCCATGAATTCCATATCTCAGCCATCATTGGCCATGAAGAGCCGTTTATGGGCTACAACCTTATTTACAAAGTCCTGTGCACATGTTACCCCAAATCTCCAATTTTACCCTAAAACAGTCAAACAGCAACAATAACATTTGTCTTTACTTTAATGGCAACTGAACACATCACACGTGATTATGCAGTCCAACTGCTCTGATGTGACAGCAACTATGAGAACTTCAATGAAACCTTTTGGGTTGACTTGTTATCATTATGTTCTACAGGATATGTGGGCAGAAGCGTTGACAGTGCAAACAGGAATTTTTCCAATTAAACAAAATACAAGAGATTAGAGCCACAAGATTTCATACCTCCTGAAATTATATGATATTAAGAGCTGCAATATTTCACAAAAAAGTAGGACTTCTCCCAACTTGTCCAGTTGTTCACTGTTATTAACTATAAAAGTTGTGCAACTTTTCTGCAATAATTTTTAGAAGATATTCATTGTAAAAATTGTTCTGTTGAACATAAACAAATTAAAAACCTAGTAAAGATTGAGAATGACATCACGGAGTTTGACATGCAGTTGGTACTTGGTAAATTGCACAACGTCAGAAGAGCAGCCGCCTCTCAAAGCTCTCTTGAGCTCAGTGTATTAATTGGCATCATGGTTTGAATTGAAGTGTAATTTGGCAGCCTGGTAGCCTGTTTTCAGGCCTTTGACGATTCAATCCATTTTGTAATAAAAACCTAAGATTGGTGAGATTTTACCAAACCAGAAATGAGGATACCACACCGTCTCATAGCCTTGCAGGAATCAAAACCATAAAATTGGTAAGAACTTCAGAAGTCACTACTCACCAGAGTGACCAGACCACAGACTCCAGAGTCCTGACTCCAGACAGTGTAACTGTGTAACCAGGCATGGAATATATCTACTTGGCAAGCCATGACTGATTTTTTTTTAGCAGTGATTCCATTTCTTTGAGCCATGAATTCCATATCTGGGCCATGAAAAGCCATTAACAAGCCGTGAATGTAAATTTACAAAGTCTGTGCATGTGTTACTCCTCTAATTTTATCCTAGAACAGTCAAACAGCAAAACTAACATTTTGCCAATGATTTGGCTTCACTTACGTAGCAACTGAACAGTGAACACATGATAGTGCAGTCTGACTCTGATGGCTCTGACGTGACTGCAGCTATGGGAACTTCAAGAAAAAATTTTGGGTTGACTTGTTGTAATTATGTTTTGCAGGATATTTTGGCTGGAATGTTGAAGTAATGCAGATTGCACCATCATTGCAGAAGTTAAAAATTTTATGAAAGGATATGTTTGTGAAGTTGCAAACTTGCAAACCACAATTTTTCAATCTAACAAAAAATCAAAAATACATGCCATTAGGGCCATGTGATTTCATACCTACTGAAATTCTATTATACTAGAGCCATGAGCCAGGATATTTAAGAAAAAAGGCAGACTTTTCCAGCCTTGTCTGTGTCACTGTGTGTACTGAACTGTGTAACCATGGACTGTGGCAGGGCTGGAAAAGTCCTATTTTTGTCTGAAATATTGCAGCTCTAATATCATATAATTTCAATAGGTATGAAATCTCATGGCTCAAATGTCATAAATTTTTGTTTGATTGAAAAATTGCGGTTTGCACTTCGCAAACATGTCACTTCATAAAATTTTCAACTTCCACAATCCGCATTGCTTTACTGTTCCTGCCAAAAAAACATATACATTGTAATGTAAACAAATCAACTAAATGTTTTGTTGAACTTTAAGATCGCGCATAGTTGCGGTCATGTCAAAGCAGTCAGACTGCAACACTGCATTAATGATTAATACATGCTCAACTTATGGTAAAGACAAATTTTATCTTTGCCATTTGACTGTTTTAGGGAAAAATTAGAGATTTGGGGTAACACATGCATGGACTTTGTAAATAAATGTGCGCCTTGTAAATGGCTTTTCATGGCCGAGATATGGAATTCACGGCTCAGTGAAATGGAATCACGGCTCGAAGAAATGAATGCAATGAATGGGAAATTCTATTAACAATCCAATAAATCTGTGATGAGCCTTGTTACTACAGTAGTTAGTCTCAGTATCACATCTTCATAGTCTGCTTCAGTAATCTGTAGTTCTGTTATTGTAGTAAAAACTATTACTAGTACCGGCATGAGGCATTTGAATCTTGTAATGTGAACACACAATGCTTTAAATGACTACGAGGAACGTTCCAGAAAAAAACGAGAGAGTTATTCTACTCAACAAGAATGACTAGGATGAGAGAGAGTGGTATTCTACTCAGCAGTCAATACTCAGTACTCACCGTGCCGCCGTACCGGGATGCAGGCTGTTAGGCTACCTAGCTTGTTTTGTCAAAACGCCGAGGGGAGAGTGCTGCAAATTCTTTGACCGACACGTCGTTCGTCAACCTTATCCAACTGCGGATCCGCTCGATTCTTTGACTTTTGATTTTATTTTATGATCGCCATATTTAACTATTATAGACGTTGCTAAAACGCATAACATGGTATTGCGAACGTTTGCTGCATATAAAAGATTAGGTGATGGTGACGGGTTATAGGTGCAGAGATAATATAATAATATGTACTATAGCGGTTTCAGCGTTCGACAGTGTTCCGCATGAGCGGCTGTTACGTAGAGTGAATTCTTTGGAAATCGAGGGAAACGTACTCCAATCACCAATGGATCAGAGATTTTCCACTCAGTAGGTGAACGACATCGTGTAAGCATTAACGGAACTGTGTCAGACTAGGCATCAGTGCGCAGTGGCGTGCCACAAGGAAGCGTTCCTGGGCCTATTTTGTTCGTTGCTTTTATGCGTGTGCTCCATGTATGCCGACAACACAAAAGTTTATAATACAGTGAAAGATGCGTCAAATAAAGTGCAATTGCAAGATGATTTTGACAGTTTCGTTAACTGGGCTGATTCGTGGCCGCTGCGGTTTAATGCTGACAAGTGTAAAGTACTTAACCTCGGGAAGAACAATGAACAGCAAGATTACGTACAGTATGAGAAGACATGGTTACAACGAGAGAGTAATGATCGAAAGTCTAGTGAGGAAAAGGATCTCGGAGTTTATGTCGACAAAGAGCGGAAATTTCCTAAGCATGATAAAACGAAAGCTAATACATACAACAAACTTCTTGGTCTAATCAGACGCTCTTAAGAGTTCCTTGAAGCGGAAGCGATGAAGCAGTTGTTTGTTGCTGTCGTGCGCCCGAATCTAGAGTTTGGAAACGTTGTGTGGTCACCGAGATTTGAAAATGACAAAAATTTAATAGAAAATGTTCAAAGACGTGCAACAAGGATAATTCCAGGCTTGAAGGGAAAGTACTATGAAGAAAGATTAAAGATTATGGTGATTCCAAGCTTCACTTATCGACGTCTGCGCGGGGGCCTCATTGATGTATACAAGTATACTCATGGTTCATACAAGGTCCCCGAAGGATTCCTTGATTGAAACAAGAACCAACACCAGAGGCCACGGCTATAACTAAAAAAACTGCGCTGCAACTTGTCCACGCGACAACATTTCTTCTCGCTTCGAATCACCGATATGTGGAACAGCCTCACTGAGGCTGTTGGCGCCTCAGGGTTGGCGCTCCGAAACAGGGTTGGCGGTCCGAACAGGGTTGGTGCTCCGATGTTACATCGTTGGCGCTTCGAGTATGAACGCGTTCAAGAACAGACTAGATAAAGCTATGGAAAAATATATGTTCAGACTTGAAATGCTTAGCACCATAACGAACCCGGTGGAAGTCTAGTAGCTATTTCAAACTATCGTCAATCATGAAAAGATCCGGTCAAATGACACGATTTTAGATATTCTGTGAACAAGTCACGAAAAGTTCAAGAATCGGCGACAGGCCACATCATATCGCTACTTGAATATGTAGCGGGCGCTACTGCTACCGCTACGTTGCCTTAAATGTAGAGCCGCTACCGCTACCGCTACTGAAAATGTAGCGGCCGCTAGTAGCGGCCGCAACATGTAGCGCGCCACTGCCCACCTCTGGTTATGTTATGTTATTAGGCCATAGGCCTGTTACCGATTCTTAACATTGCAGAACATCCACAGCTTGTTGCGGGCCTGAACTTCAAAATTTCTTTGCTTAACCGTCCGGCCTACTTGCCAATTCTGACCAGAAACTGGCGTACAGAGCTGGGATCGAACCTGCACCCCTGCTCTGTTAGGCTTAATACAAAACGGCAAACAAATTGAACTTTTATTTCAGAGACAACTGGTCCAGAGCTTGAGGAAGCAAACGCATTCACAAAATATTGAGGATAGAACCAAGTCCCAAAAATAACGCTTGGTATCGGTTCCGGTACAGGCTCATCGACTTTATACTGACGAATAAACCCGGCCCAACATAACTGTAGAAGCAAGAAGTAACTTATAAATTTTACAATTCTGCATTACAGCAATCTTATTCCAATGTCGCACTAAGTTTCAATAAAACCATTCACAGAAGCAAAATTGTACACACCATGACAAACTGAAGGCTCCCCCAACTGAACTGTCGCTGATAGTCCCCCCAAAAAGATTGAACGATGTGTCCCACCGGATACGCAGTTATTCTATCGAATAAAAGGAAAAAATAGCTGTAAATTAATTTGTAATCAAAATTATGAGCTCAATGAGCCCAAATGTAAGACGCGCTGTCACTGCATTAACCGCCTCATACCCACCTTAAAATCTTTAGCCACCAAGCGGTTAAACTGTAACTTTAAGAGGCCTGTTAAGAGGCGATGTAAAAGGAAATTATGATAGTAGAAGTAAGGGTGGGCTGACTCCAATAATTAACTAGCAAATTTAGCATAGGATAGGACCAAGCTTTTGCAATAAGTTAGGAACACATTAACGTTATTCGAGTATAAAGCCGAAGCTCAAAAGTCAGGGAGGTCGTGCCACAAGAAAAGACAAAGCCCAAATTAAACACTGGAGTCGGCCCTTTCCAAATCAAAGAAAGCACGAACACGCATTATCAACGAAAATAAATTAAACGAAAAACAAAGAGTGATCACTCAAACCTAAGTCCAGAAATTAGAAAGGAATGGCTTTATACACCTCCACTTATACTACGGAGCAAAATTAAACGGATATTTCCATCAACAAATCTTTCAGCCAACTCTTACTATTTACAAACCCATGCCCAGCAATAGGTATGGAGAAAAAGAACAAATTTAGATCCTAAGGAATGTGGAAATTTCTAACAGCTCCAATCATGGTACTCTGAACTTTAACCACTGGGCTACCCTGCCCGAAATGTAGCGCTTCCAGCGTTTATTAGGTCGTAGCCGAGTCTTAGCATCGTGGAATATTCACAGCTTGTTGCGGTCTCGAACTCACTGCTCCAAATTCTGCTGTGCTTAACCGCCCGGCCTCCTTGCCGATTGTGACCAGAAACTGGCGCACAGAGCTGGGATCGAACCCGCACCTATCTGTTCCAATCCTGGTACTCTGAACTGTAAACACTAAGCCACCCTGCCCTATGACCTCACTTCAGGTCAACTGTCGCACTTGGACATAACAATGGTTGATGGAGTTTCTGGACTTGATGCAACTTGCAGTCAAATTTATTAAGATGATTTATAAATTTTAAAGCTTATTATGAAGTTAACTTGTTTCTTATTCGATTCACTTCTACTTCTTCTTGCACTACCCCACTGTCATTCTGCTTCATGTTTCTTCTTACATTTTGCTAATCCACATCTGTTCATCGGTTTTATAACGTGTCCAGCCCTTTCGTATTTGTGAGAGATATGTGCTCATTGCTTTCATGATGAGATATTGTTTCCATGTTGGGGAGTCGCCTCCACCAAGCAGGATTCGTATTGTCAGGTTCTGTATCTCTATGCTCAACAAGGTCTGTCTCAGTTAGCGTGCAATGGTATATTGGCTACACTCAAGCAGATGGTGTTCAATAGTTTCTTCCACACTACAAGCAGCAAATAATGGTGAAGCACACATGGAGAATCTGTGTAGGTTGCACCCACGCCTACATGTCCCATGAACAGGCGTGCCAGTACAACTGAGATTCGTCGAGATCGTACATGTAGCCATAGGACAGGAAGTAGGTCATAATAAATAATAATAGCGGTTTCAGCGTTTATTAGGCCGTAGGCCTGTCGCCGATTCTTAACATCGAAGAACATTCACATCATTTTTACACACTGCTACAATTCTGCTGTGCTTAACCACCCGGCCTCCTCGCCGATTCTGACCAGAAACTGGCGCACAAAGCTGGGATCGAGCCCGCGACTTTCTGCACCAATCTTGGTACTCTGAACTTTAACCACTGGCCACCCTGTCATCTCACACTGCGGTAGGGTTTCGATCTGTCCCTGAGTTTGCCACACTATTTTGCCAATCGGCCTGCCATTTAGCAACAAATCTTTTATGGAGTCGGTGTGCTTGATCAGAGTATTCAACTGGATATAGGGAGCTGTGATTTAGATTATGTCCCAACTTGGCTGCACGATCCACCAACTCGTTTCCTCTTGTCCAGAGGTGGGCAGTAGCGCACTACATGTACATGTAGCGGCCGCTACATTTTCAGTAGCGGTAGCGGTAGCGGCGCTGCATTTAAGCAATTGTAGCGGTAGCAGTAGCGCCCGCTACATTTAGAGCATGTAGCGGTAGCGGTAGTGGCCGCTACATTTCAAAGTAGCGCTGCCCAGCTCTGCTCTTGTCCCAGCAGCATGCGCTTTCACCCACTGGAGAACTACATGTCTATGGAGGTTTAGCTTTCTTAGCATCTCTTTTATACATAAGACAACCAAAGAGCACTTGGTGTAGAAGCATAAGAGCAAAGATTGGTGACAGCACCGTCCGGAGTGGAGTTTGCCCTTGGCCGGGGGAGCTGCATTAGTGATGTTTCAGCTCAATTGCCGGTCGGTATTGCAGTCTCAGGGCCAGTTGGGCTCCAAGAGTATAAACCGTCGTAAGTATGGGGCCGGTATATGGGCTTCAACTTGTAAAGATACAATTAGAGTGTACGTCGTGCCTCCACGATTAGGCAGTACATCCAGGCAGGCGTTCTGCAGTACATCCAGCTTAGTGAGCAGTGAACGCGATTAGGCGAGGGGCATCAATAATCATGCCGAGTTCTCTGTGTTGTGGTTTGTAGGTGATGGGCTCTCCATCGTAGCGCATAATTGGGACCTGTTTTCATATATCAAAGTAGTATTGGAAGAATCTTTAATTGGGGTTGACCACTTGACCCCTGCGTTTAAAGTAGTCTCGAATGACATTCAGGTTGTCAGTCATTATCAGTTTTGCAGCCTTCATAGTTTCTGCACGGCATCCTATCGTAATATCGCCTGCTTACATGAGTGTGTGCCACCATTCATTCATGCTTACCAATGCAGGACAATAAGGCAGTGGACCTGTATGATGTGGGCTGTGAAGGGTCCTTCAAAGGCTTCAATATGGGTAAAACAACCCTTTCCTTCCAGGCTGATGGGACGATGCCTGTGCAGTAGCTCTGATTCAAGATCAGTAACAATTCTCAGAGTTGTTCAGTGCTCAAAGGTTTTAGAAAGGCATTATGGACCCGATCTGCACCTGGTGTAGTTTGACGTAGTCTCTGCATAGCATGGTCTATTTCAGCCATGCTGAAGTTTCTGTTGTACTCACTGTCTAGATTTCTTCATTCTGTAGGGGGTTTTGTGATCGCCATGATTGGGCATTTTTTTTGCCAATATGGCAGCAAGCGCTTATTGCTTAGCACAGCAAGTTAGCCTATAGGGTCGAACGGCCACTTTTGTGAGCTAAAAGTGACCGTTTGGTGGTGCACGGCAGGATTCATGCTGTTCCACTGGCGAGTTGGGCTGGTTGGTTGCAGTCCGTTGTCCGCTAGTTACAGTTCGAGCTAAAGTGTTTCAAATCATTGAGGAACAACTCAATGATTTGAGTTGTTCCTCAAGCAAAGCAGTTTATTCTGTGTGCTCTAGAACTCCAGTGGATGGTGAGGGATTTCTTCAGTACAAGGTCATGCACTCTTATAGTAAACAAATGGACGAACCTCAAACATCTTGCTATTTTAAAAAAATTATCGAAATGAATTTTACTTCAACTCCTGGGCCTATGTTAGACGAAAGAAATTTTTAGAATCAAATGTTTTTCGACATTTCGACAATAACTTTCAACCCCGGTTCGGACGTTGGCTTGTGACATACGTGCTCAGTATATGGCCTTTTTGTTCAACAGTGGTTCTTTGGTCGTGATGAAGTGTTTTGTAGCGTAGTCTTGTTTGAATATAATCATACCAACTTTATTGGATCGACGAAATAATCATTCATACAACCCCAATATTTTTTATTCAATCTTCATTTCATTTGATATCGTATAAACTTTTACTTTCATACAGGCTTGTGCACCAGTCCGTATATCTTGGTAGGCACGCAGTGCATTTACTTACTTCTGACCGATTAATTATAACTGGAGCACCTCGCACATTCAGTGTGGAGCGACTGGAGGAGATCTGGTAATTCTGGATGAAAGTATATCAAAGTTGCCGCATACCTCGAAGAACAAGGTAACCACCCACATAATCTGATTCCTGCGTTTTACCTGTACTTATCTTAGCTATAAATTTTAGTGATGCCTCTTAGAACAACTTAAATTTGACCTAACACTGGTCCTACATGGGTTAAAAACTCATAGATAGTTGCTTTTTCATTTCTCTTTTAGTTGTGTTCTCCTTTCTCTTATGTTGACAAAGCCATTATGAACCGCATAGATACTGGATCGGTGGCTCCGATGAAGACTGGAAAGGGCGGTGGCGCTGGGTTGACGGTTCACCGATGATGATAGGGCTTCCATACGGGGCAAATGTAAGACAATTTAAACTTGCAGGTTATATTTATTGAGAAAACTTTTTATATTATATACAGCATGTAAATATTTATTTTGAGAATGAATTCCATTAAAACACAATCTAAAAGAGGCAAAATCAGTGCCAGAATCCTGGCATAAGTTACTAAATTAAAGTAAATCTAACATGAATGTTCGAGTCGATTCAAACTCCGACTCAGTTCCTTGAAAAGTCCGCGACATTGCGCAAAATTTCGAGCTACCATCTTTAATTCAATCCCGCCGGGGTTGACAAAGTTTTCTCTGTCGCTGGAGGTGTCGGCAGAAGCCTCGGAAGAAGTTAGAGGTCTCGGCCGATCCTCCTGATCGACGTTTCGGTAGGCAAACTTTGACGCAGAATTTTCCTGTAAGTAGCGGCCTGTTTTCTTCCTCGGCACTATTTTTTAATGTGGCGTGCAATTGACCCCATCACTAATCAACATTGGAACTATATATACAAAAAAATTGCTACGGAGTGATGAATTTATAACTTCAAGAATTAGCTCAAAGCGGTTATTCAAATGAATTTGGTGGTATACCAAAGTAATGAAGGTCTCATTACTTTGTATCCGTTTGGAAAACAGCCCAATCCGTATGAATTGGGCTGAATGGATTGCGCTGTTTTTATGGACACAAGAGCATCTGTTTGAAACTTCGATATCAGGTAGTTCATGGGGCAAATTATATTCATTCATATTATATTTAGCTAATAATATCATAATTATGAAAAGGCGAAAATGTTTAGTATATTTGATCCTCGGTTTCCTTTTCAGTATGGTGTAGAACCTTCAAAACCCGACAACCCTGGAGTGGAGAACTGCCTGGAGATCAGTTCTGCGTGGCAGTACAGGTTTTCCAACACGCTGTGCTCCGAGACGCGACGTGTGATCTGCGAGGTACAGCCAATATTGAGGAATATACAGGTAACTATCTTGCAGCAGAGATAATACAATGAAACTCCTTATGAGACTATAAATCCCAGAACAAATAGATCATTTTAAAGTGGATATACGTCAACCGAAGGAAGGCCAGCATGGGCCAAGTACAATAATACTGTAAACGTTCTGTATAAACCGGCTGCGGTTTAACGAAAGAAGGTTGCTGTAATTTGTGAGTAAACCCCCATTGAGAATTATTGCATGCAATTTTTGTGGCCATCAGAGATCCTGCTTGCAGGGCCAAGAATCAGAACGCTGAACGATATTCGACTTGGTTGAATTTATTAATTCATTGATCGACCTGTACCTAAATATAGTTATTGTTTGAATAAGAAATGTGTTACAAATCAATAATTATTTTTTACATTATCATAAATTACGATAACTAAATAAATCCTAGTTAAAAATGCTCGTTTTACAGCTTAAAGAAAAATAAACTATTTTTTCTTGGAATGATTCCATTCATTCATCCTCAAGTATTCTCCCACAGAAAAAGGCGACAATATTAGTTGACTTTATTTATAGGAAGATACTTTTTATACAATTGTTTTTATTCAATGCGACGTAATAGGAAAATCGTAATGGGCAAACTACCAATCACGACGAAAAACGTCGTGGCCGAAATTGAGGAGATTTCTTGCATAAGAAATTCTCTTGCCGTGTGAGCGATGGCTGAGTAAGGTGTAATCGGCAATATATAAATAGTGTGTAATATGTATTAAAGTGTAACGAGTAATATGGAGAGTAATACGTTTTATTATTAATGAGTAAATTGGCAGATTTGGCGACGCTCGGCTAGCAACTAAGCAGATACCTTAACCATCTACCGCCGTATGTCACTCTCAGGGAACATAACTTTCAACTTGAATTATACGTAAACTATCGAGTGTAGCAACCTGAAGACGTTTGTACGCAACAGAGAACATTCCAAAGTTGTCGTACGTGATGGCAACCATCAGTGCAAGTCATTTTGCGCTCACTAGAACGTATCCTTTTTGGGAAGTAGGCTTGTGAAAATATTGCTCGGTTACTCAGGTCGCGCGGTAGAGGGTTAAGGGGCCGTCGTGGCAATGTATGAGTGGCAGCATTTTTGGAGTAATCTCCATTTCAAATTAAGCCGCCACGGAGCTGTGGCTGCCGTTTGGCGCATGAACGCAGTCTAGCTACATCTGTTGGGAAGCCACAAGCGCCATCACGGAACGATCCGATGGAATCTACTGTACATCTGTTTACTTGTTCTAAGCGCTTTCACCTGCGAATCCCACCGACTGCCACGTACGTACGTTTATCTGTATACAAGACTTTAAGCCAGTTGACATTCATCGCCTTATCAGAAATGTATGGTGGAAACACTCCGAGTGATGGAAATGGGTTAGGGCCAACAAAGATGGCCGCACAAACATTCGTGATGAGGAATGAAGTGGTGGACCTTCAGTCATTACCGATGATCTGTTTCAAAAAGTGGTCTGTAAAGTGAAAGCGAGGAGACGATTCACGATTTCTTCTTTAGCTGAAAAGTTTCCTTAGACGGAAATCTATGTTCAAGTATATATTGTATATGTACCTCATACAGCGATGTACTGGGCTATCAACAGCAGCTGCGAGAAAGGTTACAACTTCTCACGGTATGAATATGGTCTGAGAAACACATCTGATGGAATATCTCTTACCACGTGAATGTCTTGTGAATGCAGTACGTGTAGTCAATACATTATATGTGGCTTAATGCGCCATAAATACAGCTGGTGATCAGGCTCACGTTCAGTGCGCCCGAGACTGTCTCAAAAAAACGCGTTGTCTCCAAGTCTGTAAGGAAACAGAATTTCATCGCAATCCTGCAGTCCGGTAGAACTCATACGCAGGTTACGTGAATTGCAAATCCATAATTATGAGTCTTAAGAAAGTTTTCTGCCTGCTTGTGTTCGTCACAGGTGAGTATCATTTACGTTGTATGTCTGTTGTTCCTTGTCACAGGTGAGTATCGTCTTCATCATCTGCTCGCTTTATCTTGTCCCAGGTGCTGTGTATTATTTTCGTCGTATGTCTGTTGTTCCCTGTCGCAGGGGAGTATCATCTTCATAGGTAATGAGTATCACTCATACCTAATGCGAGCCTTCATATAGGAATATTATACGTGCCCTGGGACACATACTCCCCTGTATTATGAGTATACCTTTGAGTTATTTCTTCCCTGTGTATATTTCCAGTTGATGTGGCGTTAACAATATTGATGGGATTTTTTGCGACGGAGATTCAAAAATTTTGGCGGCATGTTTCCATTACTTCGGTTTGTTATTGCAATTAAATGATTGCTGACCTTTTTTTCATTAATTAGGCTTAACTAACGTAGAAGTAAAAAGACTTTTTAATATCATGAGCTTCACTTCTGATTAATATTTGTTGCAAATCTTAAAATACGAAATAAAAAGGCATAAACAAGTGAGAAATTTTATTATGAAAATGTTTTTTACATAGTTTAATATTTAACAAGATGGATATTCCATGCGGCAAGAGCATTACGAGAAAATAGCGTTTTTGACACATGCATGGGCTCGTGTGAATTTTTTTTGCAGAGATACGTCAAATTCGAAGTGTTCAACTTACTGAAATTATATTCCCGCATACAATTTTCTTCAGCTTACGGTAAATCTTGAACAAGTTTTGTGCAAACATGTCCAAGCAATTTTAGAGTCTATTTAGTAATTCATTTGTTATGTTGAAGAATTTATTATTTTCGTAGCTTGTGAATTTCTTGTGTGATTTTTGTAGTTTTCATAAAATATGAAACAGTCTCATTCAATCTATTCTAAAATAATTCGCGAAATTTCCCGAAAAATGAATTCATTGTGATATTAAATTTTCTCGTTCGATATGACAGGCGCCATGGCAGTTGAGTGTCCCGCTGGCTATGAGGTCGTTGGGTCCAAGTGCATCCACCGCCATCTTGGAGGTAACCTCACGCACGACGACGCGGTGGCTTACTGCTACCAGAACTTCGGCAGGCTGCCCGTGCTGCACGACTGCGCTTCCTTCATTGATGTTGCTACTTATGTCGACGATGGATGTGAGATTAAAACGTCATGAAGAATCCAACGTAATTCTTATGCCAATGATAAATTAAATAGGTATTTCTCAACTTTCTCATCAAGACGTCCCTCATAGCACAAAGCACACTATGTAATTTGTCTGAATGAAGTAGCTTATTGTTCGACAATCTTTTACTTATTTCTAACAATGTCAATTTTCAATATCAAGATTAAAAATTAACTTCAATATCAACCTTCAATCAATAGGACATCGACAGGGTATTGCTTTATAGTATCCTTCGAAGCTTTACTAGACACTCGAGTCTTCAGCCCCTATTCTCTGAGATCCCAATCGATATCAATAGCGTGATGGGTTAATATGCAATACATCGTTTCCACCATTTATTCAAGTTTGGATTGCTAAGCATCTTCTGTTTCCCCATGTGTTCTGTCAGACTCAGCGGACGCCATCAACGGCTACTGGCTGGGCGCCACCAACTCGTCGGCTAACGGCGTCTGGCAGTGGAACGACGGCACCGCAGTGCAGATGGGCGCTCCGTTCTGGGCGGTCGTGAGTGACTTGATGCGTTTTACGAATACACACAAAAAACTACTTTTGTGTGACACAAAATAGTTTATGAAATTAGGACAAGACATTAGGAAACACCAAGCTTTGAAGCAAGGCAAAGTCCCATGATAAAAGGATGCGAAATAGAACAATTTTACCTTCGCCTACATATTTTTCCATTTTATTATTTTTGCGACCATTACGGTATCAATATTGCAGAATTAACGACTAAGCTGTTCTCAGAAATACTTTCACAATAATTATAATAAGATAACGTTGGTTAGCTATAAATTTGCTCGTACGTTCGTCATTAATTCAGTATTTGAGTGCATGAATTATTTCGAAATAAAATTAGTGTTGGTTCTCTTCAGAATATTGCAGCAGATGGGAAGACAGAGCCCAACAATGCTCTTAGGGGTGAAAACTGCGCCATGATAGGCGCCACCAGGGGCTGGCTGCTCAATGACTTGAGTTGTACCAAATCAGGCTTCGTAGTTTACGCTGTGTGCTCAAGAACTCCAACGGATGGTGAGTGCCTTCCTTAAAACAGTGTCTCCTTGAGAATGAACAAACGGATAACCTGAAGCGTCTGGCACATTTTATTTTTTTAAATGAATATCAATGCTGGTTTCAAGCCTGGGTTAAGAATAATTTTTTTTACCAATTGGTTTCAATAATTATTTCAGTTATTTGGAGCAAGTCTACACGTGCTTTCGTCAAGAAATTATTCACTCGACTCAATGTATTCTTATTTATAATAATTTTTGTCGGATTTTAATTTTGTTCAACACACCATAAACTTTTCGTTCCCGGCAGGATTGTGCGCCACTCCGTACGTCTTGTTGGGCACACAATGCATTCACTTACTTCTGACTGATTATAATAGCTGGAGCGATGCGCGCACCTCGTGTGGAGCGACTGGAGGAGATCTAATAATTCTAGATGACTGCGACCAGTACAGCAAGGTTACCTCCTACCTCAACGATCAAGGTAAACAACCATAAAATTTGATCTCTGCATTTTGTCTGAAAGTATCTTGCCTAAAAATTTTAATTTCTTCCTGACTAACTTCATTCTAACAAAGCAATGTACATTCTCGTGCGCTACCATTGAGAGGAGCTTTACACTTCTTGAACCTATACATATATAGCTGTGTTGTTTTCCCATGATTCTCCTGCGTACTATTTAACAATGTAAAGATAATTTTATCACTGTACAAATAGTTTTAAGGTTCATCACGCATATCTCTCCAAGCTTTACTGGGGCCGGGAATGAAACTCCCAGTTGGATATAACTCCAACCTCCAAGTTATAATCTTTAGAATTTAGAATCGAACCTTTTTATCCTCTGTTTTTGTAGAAAAAATATATATATTTCCATTTTGAAATAATTTACCGTATTCTTTGACTGCAAATTGGTAGGATTAATTATTTCAAGACTATAACAATACCAATTTAGAAGTCACTCTTCAATTTTAGTTCCAATCCATCCCATTTTATCGATGCCTCGCAATTCACCCACTAAGAAAAATTTTCAGGATCAGGCAATATCCCGACACGACAAATATCTTAGATATGCACCCCAACAGCCCTTATGTACAAAATCCTGACAAAATAAGTATCCTGGATACGCACCCCAACAGCCTCTATGTAAAATATCCCGACATGATAAGTACCCTGCATACGCACCCTAACAGCCTCTATATACAATATCCCGACATGATAAGTACCCTGGATACGCACCCCAACAGCCCCTATATACAATATCCCGACATGATAAGTACCCTGGAAACGCACCCCAGAAGCCCCTATATACAATATCCATATAATCAATTTAACACCGACGTCAGAGTCGGTCCTACTTAAACTTCGTAGTCTGACATACAGTAGTGGGAAATTTGCAGCAACACTTTATTACAATTGGTGATGGCTTTTGCCCAACGGAGCCTCGTGACGAAGCTCATCCAACATTGATTCATCACTGGTAAACACCAGGTCTAGATTATTGGGAATGTGTTTACTTCTATAATGGGTTGGTTTGGGATTCAGAAGACATATAAAAATATACGTGGGATTCAGAAGACAAATGAAAAGTGCAACGTATTTTGTAACTGGAGTAAAATGTAAGCTGTGTGTTGTATCTTAAATGTGTATTGTGAATTTTAGCAGGTTATTCGTTAATTTAAGCTCATTAGTTTTACTATTACTGTCGGTAGCCGGGATAGCGAGTCTAAAATTGAATGGATTATTTATAGATCCCAGGCAACTCCGAACTAAATTGATAGTTGTTTTTATGTCATGCTTCAATTCAATTTTTTATTATGTTTTCATGTCTTTTCACATTACAAGGCTACAGCCCTGATGGATATTGGATCGGTGGCTCCGATGAGGCATTGGAAGGGCAATGGCGCTGGATTGACGGTTCTACAATGGCAATGGGACTGCCATACTGGGCAAATGTAAGATACAGTTATCATGTGAAATGTCTCAAATGTGATCAGTTAAGAAGCTGCATTTTTTAGTATAAAATTTAGAAAATGTACGAGTTCTATTTTAAGAAAACTCTAATTATAAGACAAATTAAAAATTGTGGAATAAAAACTGATGCAGGTCAAGGCAATAACGCCATTCATTGATTGGTTAATGGGTGAGTCAGGAGGCAATAACAAACGGCTACTTCCCACGGCAATATTAAGCTGCCACCCTGATTAAAATATAAAGAAGACGAATATGCTGAAAACAAGATTCTTCGACTACTTGTAAAAAAAATCTGCAAAAATGCCTTTTATTCTATCCAAGTTTAAAAACGCCTTTACTTAACTTCATACGGGGTGGTATAAGTAACAAAATCAGCGAATAGGAACGAGTATGAAGGTGGGACCGCAATCACCTTCGACCGTCAGGCTGACTCACTTGCAGAGCAGTGAGCATACATAACTGAAGATTATGAAGCTTCCAAGCCTCAGTTATTGACGTCTGCGTGGTGATCTCATTGAAGTATTCAACTTAATACAAGTATAAACGATTTTAATGCTACCGTCCATTGAACAGATTTGATAAAAAAGACAGTCTTTTAGATCTTTGAATTAGTCAAGAAAAGTACAATAATCGGCGACAGGCCTATCCAGACCTATTCTTCAACGCCGAAGATACTTTACTATACTATTTCTGCGTCACCGTACTGTCACGTCCTCTTATATAATGCATGATGCTTCCGCCCACATCGTGGGAGCGGCCTCGCTCACGTGACGTATAATGATTAAGGGTTTTTCACTCCATCAATGTCCACTGCGTCTTCATAACAGTTTCTGTAATCTAATAATATGATAAGAATGAGACGCCTGACAGGTGGTATTCTTACCTCACATTCAAGTTAGGAATACAGCACTGTCGATTCGATTAAGGTTAAGGATATCGCACATAAACCTTGTGAATCGGACTCAATGTAGGGACACTGAACCTAAATCTTGTCAATGTCTCTGATCTCGGCAAAGACGATAACTTGGCGTCGAATTAGGAACGTTGAATTATTAAATCGTTTATTACGTCGTTTGGGACAATTTATATGAAGTATCCGCAGGACTTCTGCATCTTGCGATTATTGTGCAGAATTTTGACAAAGAATTTTCAAATTAGTATAGAAGCTCCTGTTATTTTTTTAAACTAATTCTTGAATGAGGAGTGAACCTTGACTGATTTCACGACTTATAATTATTAACTTTTTTTGTGAAATATCAAAATCCCGTGGCAAGAAATCCCACATTTTCTTCAGTTAATTGCTTTTTTTAATCCGTGCATCTTTAATTTAGCAGCGTGATGCTAGCGCTATAAGGTATTTGTCCGCAAGCTGATGGTAATGATGTAGCTTGTTTCAACTTACAGATTGATAAATACCATTAACCACGTTCAGCATGTTTGAAATCTTCCCTAATGAAGCAACACCAAATTATATCAACGAATGCTATGTTGTTAGAATTTTTCACCCGTTGTTGACTTCTCTCTCCAGACCGGCGCCGGAATTCAAGAGCCCGACAGCCCCGGCGTGGAGAACTGCCTGGAGCTGAGCTCCCTGTGGATGTACCGCTTCTCCAACACACTGTGCTCCAACACGCGACGTGTGATCTGCGAGGCGCAGCCTCTCTAGATCTGCGAGGCGCAGCCTCTTCAGATATGTGAGGCGCAGCCCCTCTCGGTCTGCGAGGCGCAGCCCCTCTAGGTCTGCGAGGCGCAGCCTCTCTAGATCTGCGAGGCGCAGCCCCTCTAGGTCTGCGAGGCGCAGCCTATATAGAGGTAGATTGTCGTATAGCAAAGAGAAACAAACTACTAAAGTCTGCGATTTTCTCCGTAAAAGATTGCTCGTATTTATAGGCCTACACTTCTACTTCCTTCAAGAATATTCAATGATTGACGTGTTCACAAAATTTTATAGATCTGCGAGGCGCAGCCTCTCTAGATCTGCGAGGCGCAGCCTCTCTAGATCTGTGAGGCGCAGCCTCTCTAGATCTGCGAGGCGCAGCCTATATAGAGGTAGATTTTCGTATAGCAAGGACAAACAAACTGCAATAGCCTGCGATTTTCTCCGTAAAAGATTGCTCGTATTTATAGGCCTACACTTCTACTTCCTTCAAGAATATTCAAGGATTGACGTGTTCACAAAAATTTTTATTGTCAGCGAAAAAAATGTGAATGATCAATAATTACTGAAAAAATGCTACTATAATTATAAGACGTGTTAAGAAACTTACAATGATGAATATCATATTTTTGATATTCATCAAAAATTATGATATTCATCTTTTCTTTATCATATCCATTCATACATTTTGCAGTTTATAGGTCGAGGACAAATAAAGAATTTTTGATTGTGGTTTGTCCATTTCTTCATCATGTTGTTTTCTATAAAGAATGCGACAACATTATTCAACATATTCAACACTATTTAACATAATAACATGCAAATATTCGCAAAACAAATTGCCAATTTTCTAGAAAAGCTTGTGGGCTGCAAACACGGAACCATTTATATACGTTTTTTTATAGCCGTGCGGGCAAACAGTAAAGTGACCTCTTAAGAAGATTGCTACCAAGAAAATAAATCTGCAACAGCTGACTATATTCCGTTAGGCTTATAATCTATTAGGTTTTACAGTTTATGATAACTTAATTAAATATGAAACCCCTTTCGAAATCCAATTGCTGTTCCAACATAAGATCGTAGGATTAGGGAATAGATGTCTAAACTTGGATATCCAAGAAGTGTATTTTCCATTCAGTTTTTATGTCCATGAGGCAGAATTTTAATGATTCTCAGCATCCTGGGAAGCGGGAGAAATTCTTAAAAGAATCGTTCACGCTGAATGGGTAACAGATTATTGAGATGCCTCATCAGTTGCCAAAGAATCATAAGCGACAATTGAAAATAACATTTTCATAGCTGGTTGAAGTACTTTGTTGGAAAAAATAATTGTTAGCTTGAATAAATCAGATCTATTAATTTAATTATTTCACAAAAAACATTGATTTCATTAATTACTTTCACTAAATTCAAAAATTCAACAATTATGTTAAGAGATTCCATACTCGTGGACCATCCTTTCAATGCTCTTTTTATGCCACTGATAGGAGCTGTCGATCACGGCAGAATGGAAACTCAGGTGGCAATTATTATTCAGTAAGGGTTCCAGTAAGGTTTTCCACCTCAGGCTTCCAGTAATGGAAACTCAGGTGGAAAAATTCTTATTTTTTGTCAATTCAGAAAATATTGTATAAATAACTTTGTAGGGCTAAGCAGAATAGAAATAAGTGATCATCAATTTAGACATTTTAATAAGAATTTATTCAAAGCTTCGTATTCAGGGTAGTTCCTCATATTTAAGACAGTTTGAAATCCATTTAGAATGCTGCGTTCAGGTTTAACTTAATTTGGCAGATGTTGAAGATTACTGGAGATACTGGTAAAAACAAACGCATCATCACAACAGAGTCAATAAGCAAGTAATAATTAAGATATTTCAGTAGTTCAGTATTTACTTTAATTAAAGAATAAGGCCTACCTTAATCAATTAAGATTAAGCGCACCTATTGCGTAGTGCTTTTAGACGTAGAAATTAATTGTAGTAATGATTTTTGATTTTTTAGACGCGCGGCAGTTCCGAATTTAAATAGAGGTTACCATGGTATAGAGAATGACCACCTGGGTCAGTCAAGTTAATAATTTTAAGGTTTAGTGGTGAATAGTTAAAGTTTAAGGTTTTAAGTCAAATAGGCAATTCGACGAGCTGGCCAAAGTGTTAAAAAAAGAAGTGAAAAACGCATGCACCCCAAAACTGAAATATTTACCTAAGCAAGAGTTGTGCACACCAAATAAACACCTATTATTTAATGAATTAGGAAAACATATAAGGTAACATATTAAGTTAGTAGAGGAACTGGACACGACCGCTCTGGTAGAGTTTTCTCAATTAAGCATTTTTCGGGAGCAGCGGCTGCCTTATTAATGGGCTGAGCACGTTCAGCTTCTTCGCAGTAGTCTTCCCAGAAGCCCGGATCGGAAATTTTCGGACCAACTTCGGGAATGGTGACTTCCAACCGGAATTTTTAGTCACGTCTTGAAACATTTTGCTTAACGTTACGTAAGCAATCACATTAGCAATATTCATATTGTAATGTTATATGTTATGCAATGAAACCTAAAGATACATGTTGTATATATACTGTATATGCTGATACTGTATATGACTTAGAGAGTACTCTGAAAATCTGAAAAAACTTTTCGTAAATCAAACGAAGTGCTGCTTTACAAGTGGCACTAAATCTCTGACAGCAGCAGGCTTAATAAACCGCACGTTCCCGGTTTTCTCAAGATTTTCAAAAATTTTTACCTTTGCATTGACGTTTGGCAAATTTTGCAGCTCTGAACCGGGAACATGATTCGCACTCGGATCCTCCAACATCGTCTAGAAAAGCATCAAAGTTGAAGGTTAGAAACTTTGGCTCTTTTTATTAGCGCTTACAAACGGGAGCGCAGCCGTGCACCACCAATTTTGTGCACCAATAAGCCCTGAATCGAACGCCTTGGATCTCTCCGGATACCCACCAATCAGCCGTGCACCACTCGGCTTTGTCCGCCTCCGGCCTTGACCATCACCTGCCGTGCACCACCAGGCCGCGGATCGAATCTGACTTCCGGGCATCGTTAAATTACGTAATTTTACATTCACCGCATCTGAGGTTAGGTTTCAGATAGCATAGTTCTGTTCCAAAATTTATCGTCCTTCGACTAGTGGCCGTTCGACCGAGGGCTGGTTCGACCCACTGCCTAGATACGGACGGCTTAAAGTGTTGAAGGCTACGTTCCGGAAGGCAGGAATCATGATGGTCCATTACATCCAGGGCAGTTGTGGTCTTCGGCAGGCGACCCACGGATCCTAGAAGTCAGTTTCCTTTACCCTAAAATGATACAAGATAATCATTACCCTAAAATTACAAAAATATTGATACAAAGTAATTATGAATAAAGTATGAATGAGCGGATATATTTAGCGATAAAAAAACAATAAGTAACCCAGTTACATCGTAACATGCTAGAGAATACTGCGAACTGACATAACTAACCGATAGCTGTGTAGATTAGCATATTGGATTATGTTATCTTTTCTGTGGTCCAAATTTTGCTCATGTCAAATAACATGTTAGAAATGAATCCCAATTTTTAATAATAAATGAACTCCTGTATCGATTTCGGGTGAAATGAATTTCATAAATGCCCATAAAAATACTATAAATGAAGTTAGATATTGTTTTTATCATAGAATATGTGCACTTCTTATGCAGGATAAGACAAAACCGTTGTAGCCTACTTTTACTCCAAATTTCGATCGTTACTGGTTGGGTTTGATAGTTCCTGCTGACAAAGTTACCAGAAGTTTCTATCAATATTAGCTTGTGGTTGCTTCACTATATGACTGGGAAATCTGGCCTTATGTTATTAATGTCAAATTGGCTCAGTTTTTACCGGATTGCAGGAATATACATGAAGTATAAAAAATACTGTCATGTCTACGATAGACGGTAGACCAGTATTGTATGAGCTCTCCTTGAAGCAGATCAGAACGCTAATGGCAGGGAGAGGACCTATGCTGCTGTCGATATTGTCCAGGAATTTGGCGCTGTGAAGGAAAATGTAAAAAATTGCACTCCGATGCGCAGAGATGCGAGCCTTAACCAGCTTTTTTTTGGATTCAGAAATGATCTTTCTAATGCAGCATCGACTTTCCTTGCGCTACGTTCGCAGCACAGAACTGCATAAATCTGCTCGCAATACTTCGATCTGATTTTACATGAATTTTATTAATTTTGTATCTATAATCTTAAAATAATCTTATAAGAAACTTGTGGGCGAACTCTAACTCCTTACTATATACTTGCTCAGCTCTGATGGTAGCTTCAGGACTCGAGTTGAAATTTTATTAGTGAAAGTCTCTTATATTTTTAACAAATGCGATGGCTCTATTGCAGGTTTAAGCAGTGACTCAGCAGATATAACACAGTCGAGAATTTTTCGGTTCAAATATCATCCCGTCAAAAGCTATCAAAAATTTTTTCAAGTTCGTGTGGAAAGCTCTACAGGATGCTACCCTTATCCTGCTGCAGATATTTGCTTTCGTTTCCTTGGGATTGACTGCCTGTAAGTCTAAGAATTTGATGACGTACGTTGCCGGCTATCGTTTTCATGCATATTTTTTATGATGTATTAAGAGCTTCAGTTGTGCGGGTTTCTTGTCGTTTGTGTGGCGTAAACTTTATCTCTAATTTAATTTCTTATTTATAATTGGTTTTAAGACTTGTGGTGCACGAAGCATGTCCCAGCCTGATACCTGTCAGAAATATAATTTGTTGTTTATTTCTTTCAGCTCTGTGGAAGTTTCAGCTATTCAAGCTATATATTTATGATAGACACGCATTAGAAGGAGCGTACAATGTACCTTCCTTATCTGTACATCTCCATCAACAGTAAACGATAAATTTTGCTTATACCTCACTTTAGAAATTTCTTGAGTAGCAGATGCTATCATCCGTTTCGATGAAAGCGCAAAAAATGACTATTGCATGGATTCTAGGCATCACCAGCTCAGTGATGCTGGTTGTTTCCGTAACGGCAATGTTTCAAAATGTCCAAATCGGTATTTCAAGAGAAAAAAAGTTCTCTGTTATCCGCCGCGGCGAACTTCAACAGATCATTGTCGAAGACATCGGAGTTGGTGACATAATTCATGTTTGCAACTCTTATTGTATGTTTTAAGAAAAATCCCATTTATTTGAGTTTTGTGGTGCAGAATAAAGGTCTGCACATTTTGATCACCCGTCCAATAATCCATAATGATTGGATTATTCCAAGTCCAACCGCATTCAAAGCAACGTTCTATCTTCTTTCTGTAGCATTTTGTGCGTGCACAGATAAAACCAGATCAGCCGCTATACTTTTTTTATTTTTTTTCTTTTTCTCTCTTCTTCTTCTTTTTGCCACACATTTCCTACTAAACACAGCAATCCCCCAATTGTGGCCTTTTCCTGTGTGTATCATTAGTGTTTAAAACAATCTTACATTAGTTTTACCTAGCCAAAAACCCTAACATAACCTAACCGAACTGAACACAGCCTGACATATCCTACCTGTCCTAACCTAATCTTACCTCACTTAACCTTACTTCACCTAACCTTACCTTGCCTAACCTTACCTAACCCAACACAACCTAACCTAACTTAACCTATCCTAACCTAACCTNATTTTAGGTAATTTTTTGACCAAATTTTCCCCTTTTTTGGGGATTTTGGGGGGGAAGGAGTGGGAATTTCGGAAATCCGACAAGAAGGTTTGGTAGAAAAAATATGCGTACGTCTCTGTGCCAATTTTCATGAGATTCTAACGTTTGAGCTCCTGGGAAAAACGGCTCGAGTGAAAACTTTGACCTCAAACCCCCCTGTACGTGATTATACAGCAGCAGCATATCAAAAGTGGAGAGTATAAGTTTAGCGTCCGCTTCGCTGGCTGTAGGCACACAGAAAGTGAGCCGCTCCTGCCGAACAAGCTTAAATGTAACTTGCTGCGTGGGGCCATCTGCCACCAAAGTCGTCGAACGCTTCATTTATCAGAGAAATTCTTTGTTATTCTATTTGGTTTGAAGAAGAATGTGTTGTTTTCATCATAAACTGCATGGAATTTCAATTACCTCTACTGCAGCTCTATTGATATTTCTATTGCTTTATAGTATTCCTCCTCAGTTAGACGTACC